GTCCCCATATACTGCTTGAGTGTTTTCTTCTGGGATCTCGTTGGGAACAGGCGATACTTGCGGGTCTGGCGGATCATCAACTTCTTCTCCGCCAGCAGAGACTTGTTTTCCTGCTTCATCTCCTGAAGAGCCCGTTCGTATTCTTGTTCATCGTTCTTCGACCATGCCTTCTTCTGTTGGCGTTCCTTGCGCTCCTTGGTCAGCTCGTTCTTGCGAACTGCTACCGCAGTAGTCTCTTTAGCCCGTATTGACCGTCGAAAGAATGCCTCACGCTTCGCATCGTGTTTGAGTTGGTCTGCGCTCCATCCTCGAGCATGACGAAACACGTTCAGATCCGTGAGCGATCGATTGATGTGATGCTGGGGTTCTCGCTTGCGAAGAGCGAACCACGACCGGAAGCCGGGGAGATCTTGCAGATGACCGCCATACGACAACTCTTGTCTGTATTCTTCACCAAACAAGCCCTCCATCGTTCGTCGGCGTTTGTTCGACAGTTTCGCTTGCAGCGGGCGAAATTCCGTGATATTTTTGCAGAGTATGAAGGCTAGAAGTGCGGACAGCGCGTTCTGGAGTTCCGGTTGTTTGAGATCTTCTCGCTTGTCCTTGGGAGTGAGCGCGTCGAGGTCTTGCAGGAGATCCGGAAGAGAACGCTCTTGAGGACCCGACGACTGCAAGAGTGCGAGCCATGATACCGACCAGTGGTGAAAGTGAAGAAATCCTCGCAGCCGGATGCATACGCGGTCGTCTTCCACGTGGATGAACAGGAGAGCCCGAAGCAGACCGAACGCCTCACGTAGCCGTTGTTTGACTGGAACCCAGGTTCGTAGGGAACGATCGCACTCTTGATCTGGCTCGCTGTCGGTCTCAGTCACGACCTCATCGAGAGGAAGTGTGCGCAGAGTTTTGCTGGAACGTAGGAGAAGGCTGGTGAGCCTGGACGCCACGATCTCGCCCGGTGGACGACCACGCTTGGAAGACTTCATCGCTCGAGGTCAAATCGGATTGTCATGACTGTTACGACAACATCTCAAGGTCCAGAACGGACTATGATGGTGCCGATGATAAAGACAACTAGCTGCAGAGAGCTGGTAGTGAAGACTGATAAATCAGCGACGAGGATCTGAGAGGGAAGGCGACATGTCAGTTAACGCCGCCGATTACGCTCTACGATAACTTATCGACCGGCGACTCGAAAACTATATATGATCAACCGCTACGACTCGTAGCGATGATTGTCGTGGTGCCCTTGACGCAGAACGTATACACGGCGTTTGGCTCTCAGCGGCAGTGTTTGCACCTAAAGATCAGAATAAAGTGGTGCATCTCGCACGGTAGAGAGAAACGCAATTCAGCTTTGTGGAAGCAGTTGACGGCGTCGCCCCGGACTCGATCTCACCGCAGCATTCTTCTGGTTGAAGAAGTGTATTGAATTGGCTCAACGGCTTCTTGAGATAACTAACCCCGTACGTGTACTATCTACAGCGATGGCGGCGTTCGTCCGCGACACGATCAATATGAAGAGCCATTGTAAATTGATAGTGGAAAAAGATCGAAACTTCACTAAATAGGCAAGGAATAACCGTGAAAGCGCACACCATTCGCGAGCATCTCCGGTTGCTAGTGACAGCTCACCGATTTGAAGAGAGCACAAGAGATCTGGATCAACTCGGGTTGTCTGAGAGACAGCAGCTTTTGAGAACGTATTGCAAGAAAATGGAGGACGAAGAACAGCACACTCAAGACACTACCGACGATCAGTCCTTCGAGCCAGTGCCTGAATCAGATGCCCAAGACAACGACGTCGTCGCTACAGCTAACCAGCCAGTAGAAGTAGCTGCCACTTCACCGGCTAGTCGAAGTCCATCCCGTACTCGAACTCGTGAGGTTATCATCACCTCAGAGATAACTTCAGCGCCCAGAGCCTCTGTAGTCCAACCTCCACTATTTGCTGAAGAAAGGGAAGTCGAGGAACCTGCGACGAAAAGGCAGAAGCTGGAGCTGGACACAATTCTGGAGCGCTTTTTAGCTGACCAGAAGGAACGTCAACAAGAGCAAATCGAGCACGAGCGCACGAGACTGAGCGAACAACAAGAGTTGCAGCGCCAGACGGTTGACTTACAAAAGCGAGCACTGGATATTCAAGAGAAGGCGATGAACATGCAGGAGCGGCTCATGGCTTTGATGGAGAAGGTGATGGATAAGCTTAGTTGAGGACCCATGCAGCATGCGTGATACATGCGCAAAATTTCGCGCAATGGTAATTCGGTATTCTACATATCTTTTTTTCTTTCGTTATTACTTGCTAGTTAACCATAATGGACTGTCCGAATAACAAATATGCTTACCAACATCCATGAGGACCGACGACACCGGTCC